TCTTCCTTGCCTCGAGGACGGCGCAATTAGCCGTCTGCTGAGGCCCTGAAGTGAACAATTTCTAGTTTTCACAGCAGCTTAAAATACACTAGTTCTCATCCGGTATTATATAAAAAAATTAATTTAGTTAGATTTACATCACCAAGTTTAATGTAAAAGCCTGAAACTGGAAAATGCCATCTTTAATTTTACTCCTCACTCAGTTTTTAAAAAATATCTTTACTTAACAAGAATTTCAAGTGTTTCTACAATCTTCTGAAGTCATACAAATTTTATAGATATAAAGAAATATCTGCTTTCAGTAATATGGATTCTTGTTTATGTTTAAAAACTGGGTGGGGGGAGAATCAGTTGAGACTCAAAAGCCTGTAACAGAACTGATTGCCTTGGAACTAGTCTTGAGTAAGTGGTCTGAATCTTATCACCTAAGTGCAATTCTCCAGTGCAGAGGGGCTAACAAAAAAGCAAAAAAGATTTTCTAAAATCCAAAAGAACTAGGCCTTCTAAAATCCAAAAGAACCAGCTGGAAAATGTAAAACATGTTGGCTCTTTAGGATAGTCTCTCAGGTCCAATCTACACTGCAGAAATAATCTAGTTTGAGACCACTTTAACTGCCCTGGCTTAATGCTAGGGAATTATGGGAACTGTACTTTTGTGAGATATTTAGCCCTCTCTATCAGTGAGGTCTAGTGCCACAATAAACTACAACTCCCAGGATTCCCTAGCACTGAGCCTGAGCAGTTAAAGCTGTGCCAAACTGGATTATTTCTGTAGTGTAGATTGGACCTGAGAGACTATCCTAAAGAGCCAACATGTTTTTTAATTAATTAATTAATTAATTAATAATTTAATTAATAACTTAATAATAGAATAAATTAATGTTGAAATTCCATCTTAAGTCAATCAATTAAATTTTAAAAATTAATTTAATTTATCTTCTAACTTAATTTATTTTAATTAGTTCTTATCATGCTTTAGAATAAAATCAGCAAGAAAGAAGCTACCTTTGCACTAATCCTAATTATTACTATCTTTATAATTTGAAAACTTCTAGAGAGGAGTGGGAGGGAGAATCAAAAGAACTACTATCCTTAACTGCCTTCTTCAACTACTTGTTTATTTCTCAACTCAAAATTAGGGGAGGGTACACTTTTCTCTATAGCAAAACATACCAGCAACCATCAGGGATGGACTGCATGTCATAGATACCATAAACACATATTTACTGTTCTTTGTTCTTGGAGGACAGAAATATAGTTTTCATCTGGGCCACGTAATAATTACACATCTCTATTTCCTGTATACATTTGTCCCTCCATATTCACTGTGATTAGGGGCACAGGACCCGTGAATGTGGAAAAAATGCAAATAACAAAAACACTATGTTTTCAAGTAAGAGAACACCTTTCTAGGAATCTCTAGGTCCTTCAGCGCAACTTTTGGTTAAAGTGGACCATAGAGTTGCACTGGAAAACCTAGATATTCCTAGAGAGAACATATTAATAAAATCCATGAATAATCAAATCTGCAAAATTCAAGGCCACAAATGTGGAGGGAGAAGTGTAAATAGTTTTGAAATCAAAATATATAGAACAGCAACATTATATTCTGCATTGTAAGACACTCATTCTTGTGCCAGTTCTCATTTCCTGATCATTGTTTTCTTTTCTTCTTGCTTCTCAGCAATTAGCAGAGTATGATTGCCTTTTCTATGAACAACACAAAAGATAATCCATAGCACATTTTATTTCTAAGTATTTCGTAATCTCCCTTTCCAGCTGCCTTTGTTTTAAATCAGATTACACTGCTTTACTTAGGGATCACTTATTTCTGCTTCAGGAAACTACATGCACAGCGGCTGCAACCCCCTATGGTTTTCCCAGCTACATACTTAAGAGAGATTCACATTCCTTCAAGGAAGTTTTCAGTGTTCAGTGAATTCAGTGGGTATAGGAATTTTAAAACTACCAAAATTTACAATGTAATGTGGTAGCTTAAGCAGCTAGGGGGATGAGGGGGGAAGGAGGGAAAGGAGAGAGCAGCTTTGAAAAGGAGCTTTTATTTCCAGTCTGAAAGAGACAGACTTTTTTCTCTCCCATTAAAACCAATAAAACCTTTATCAGAGTAAATATTCTTTATACAGCAAGTTAATATATATATATATATATATATATATATATATATATA